AAGCTTAGTATAAACTGGAATTTTAGAAGAAAAAGATTTCTAAAGAACCAGAGCGTTTTTTGAATGTTGAGCAAAAAGACTGAGTTCCATTTCCAATAGGAAGTATCTTAGGCAAACTAAAAATATTCTAGTTGTCTGCACCATACTCAGAAATATAACTACCCACGAAACGCAGTGCGTTATGGATTTAAGAAACTATCTCCCTTGCTTATATTGCAACTCTTACTACATAGGATGGATGTTAATTTATAAGCTTTGAATGAAGCAAATAATAAAAATCATTTTCTTGGAGATGAAATGCAAATTTGCTAAATTCCTATGTTCCTTTAAAATTTCCAAGGCTAGTTACAATTTTCGAATAAGCAGCTATTGATAACTTGTCATCCAATCCAACAATAATGATTCTGTATTGTGATGATACACTTATGATACCAAAACAACCAAATGAGAACTGGAAACATTGTAGTTCTTGTCTTTGATACCACCCAAACCAGATTTATTGCTGGTAGACTAAAAGTGTCAGTCTTAGACTACCTAAGCTGAGTCCATCATTCTATAGAGGATACATTCTTATGTATCAGGTATTAAATATTACAATTCTATAGTGTATCTGACAGAACAGCACAGAGCATGTACCTAAACAGGTAGTGTAATATCTAATCCTAAGTGTAACTTACGGAAATTCTCCAAACATAGGAAGAGGTGCAAAATCAAACACAGAGAAACCAACACTAATAGGTCAATTTGTGCATAGTGACACACCTGTAAAAGTAACCTGGATTTGCCCTCTCAGGCAGATATACATTATGACACAGTTTTAAAATCTAAGACCAGGTACTACTTTCCACTTGACCTCTGGTTTATTCAGACTGCTCTCACTGAAACGATTATGATTCGAAATATGGCTTTACTGTAATCATAAGTTTTAACCTCTCCAATTATTCCATGTACACCACTGAAACAGTGAAGTGACAATAGAATTGGTAATTTCCTTACAGTCTAAAAAAATCAGTTTAATAAAACATTACAGTTTTATCTGTAAAAGATCCTTGTAAGAAAATGGCTAAACTCAGCTTTCATTAGCCTCAGATGCAAATGCAAGTTCTGCGTGTTTCTGCAATTTAAATCACATATATCTTGAGAAGGAAGCAGAAAGCAAAGAATCCTTACCAGCTGTCTACAGGTTTTTCAGTTCATATGACTTACCATAACCCAGAAATCCTCTAATAGAAAGGAGAACAGGGTCTCATTTTCTATGACATTTGTTCTCTTAGCCACCTGATAACTAATGTCCCTCTGTGGTACTCTCTTTCTGTCTAAAGCCATTCCCTCTTGTCTTATCACTACATGCCCTTGTGAGAAGTCCATCTCCAGCTCTCTTGTAGCCCCTCTATAGGTACTGGAAGGCTTCTGTAAGGTTTCCCTGGAGCCTTCTCTTCTCAGGGCTCTTCATCAACCCCTGATGAACACTATCAGGTATCCACTTGGATACTGACTACAACTCTTTGAGTGTGATCATCTAGACAATTCCTTATTAACCAAGTGGTCCAACCATCTAATCCAGTTTAGGATGTCATATGGGACAGTACCCAAAGTTTTGCACAAGTCCAGGTGAACTATGTAATTTGCTCTTCCCTTATTCACTAATGCTGTAAACCCATTGTAGAAGGCCAACTAATTTTTCAGGCACAAATTGCCATAAGTGAAGACATGGTGGCTGTCACAAATTACCTCCTTGTTTTCCATGTGCCTTAGCATACTTTTAAGGAGGATCTGCTCCATTGTCTTGTTGGGTAATGAAGTGAGACTGACCGGCCTGTAGTTCTCTGGGTCTTCCTCATTTCCTCTTTTAAAAATGTGGTTTATGTTTAACCTTTTCCAGTCAGTGGGAACTTCACTGGATCACCATGACTTTTCAAATAGGATAGGTAGTGGCTTAGGCATTTCTTCAGGCCAGTTCCCTCAGGACATGTGGATGCACCTCATCAGGTCCCATGGACTTGTGCACATTCAGTTTCCTTAGATGTTCTTGAACCTGATGTTCTCCTGCAATGGGTGGTTCTTCACGCTATCTGTGCCTGCCTTTGCTCTTTGTGACTTGGGCAGTGTGGCTGGAGCGCTGGCCAGTAAAGGCTGAGGAAAAAAGGTCTTTAAGTATCTCAGCCTCCTCTATGTCACAGGTCTCCTATTTTCTTCTGAAGAGAGGGTCACATTTTGCCTACACTTCCTTTTACCACTGGCATACCTGTAGATGCTTTTCTTTTTGCCCTTGAAGTCCCTGGCTAAGTTTAATACTTGCAGTGCTCTAGCTTTTTTAACCTGATCCCTGGCTACTCAGACAAGTTCTCTGTATTTCTCCCAGAACACCTGTCCTTGCTTCCACCATTTGTAGGCTTCCTTTCTTTATGTTTGGAACCTCCTTGCTTCTTGTCCAGAAATTCATCCATGCAGGCCTCCTGTGGTTTTGCCCAAGTTCCTCTTTGTCGGAATGTATCACTTAAAAGCTTGGAAGAGGTGACCCTTGACTATTAACTAGCTTTCTTGTGCTCCTCTTCCCTCCAGGGCTTTATCCCATGGTGTTTCATGAAGCAGATCCCTGAAGAGGCCAAGTCAGGTCTCCTGCAGTTCGTTGCAGTGAACTTGCTGTGTTTCTCCCTCATTGTCCCAGCGATCTTGAACTACACTATTTCATGATCACTACATCCCAGGCTGACCTTGAGCTTCACATTCCCCTCTAGCCCCTCCTTGTTGGTGAGAACAAGGTACAATATAACACCTCTCCTCGTTGGCTCCTTTATCACTTGGAGAAGGAAGTACTCATCAATGCATTCCTGGAACTTCTTGTTCCTCCAAGAGATGTTGGGTCCCATGAGGACAAGGGCTTGCGAATGTGAGTCTGGTCCTGTCTGTCTGTGGAAGGATTCATCTGCTTGGTCTTCCTGGATGGGACGCCTGTAGTAGACCCCCACTATAATGTCACCTGTGCCTGCCTTCCCTTTAATCCTGACCCACAAGGTTTTGGTCAGCTCCTCATTCATCTCCATCCTCATCCATCCATGCACTCCAACAAAACAAGACATTGTTTGCATAGAGGCATTTGAGTTGCAAACCTACTTATTGGCTGGAGTGGCTGGAATTCCTTTGTGCTGCCCTTCAGGTGTTCTCCTGCTGACCCGTGATCTCTTTCCAGGTCCTGGGCATCTCTTGCTGGCTCTGGCATTGAACTGGTATGACTTGGATAGCCTGAGGTTCCTCTACCCTTGGCAACCCCAGTAGTTCTTAATGCGCATACCCAGTGACTGCAGCAGTCTTGTACGATCCTTCAAAGGCACAATCCAACACTTCAACATTTTGTCCAGTGGGAGCGATGGAAGGAGAAGTTATGAATAATCAAATGCTCAAGTATGTTCTATAAGATACTGCAAGAAGCTTCAAGCATGGAAAAACTTAGGAATGATATAAGCCTCTTGGCTCCTACAAAGGTCTACTGAAATTATTGGCCAAATTTTTGTGTACTATTACAGTTTTAACAGCTTATTTTGGGGGTGGAGGGGTGGGGATGGTGGTGGGGTGGGGGGGTAGGGGAATGGAAAGAGGATAATTTTAATGGAAAAAGAAAATAAAGTAGTGATGCTAACACATACATCCTGACTTTAAGTCATAAGGGGTATGTCTCAATGATAGTCATTAAAAAAGAAGCACACACAGTGGTAGAATGTACTTCCAGGATGTGCTGGTACTTCCTCGAAATATTGGCCAGAAGCAGACAATAAGCATGAACGTTTTACAAATCAAGCAGATTAAATCTGTAAGAAGTAGAAGTTAAAAGCTACAAAACGGAGAAGTGGCACAACCTCCTGAACTGCCAGCCCTGAACTGGCCCGTTCCAGCTGTGACCCATTCCTGCAGGAACACGTGGTGCTTTGCATGAAGCCACTTATTCATACGTAGAAAAGCTTGACCCAAGCTGGAGCTTGGCAGTGGCTCACAAACGTGCCCGATGATCCATGGGCAACCGGTATCCTACGGAAAGGTGCGACGGGGGCTTTGCTAAACAACGCGGATGAGGGGGTCGTTCTGTCCTTCTCTTCCTTCTTTCCCCAGCCGCCTCAAGGCCCGCGTAGCACGGCGGAGTCCCGCAGCATCCCTCCCCCTTCTTTCCCCAGCCGCCTCCCCGCTTCCCGTGGCCGAGGCTGCCACACAACGACCGCCGACGGGGCGGCGGCGGGAGCGGCGCCATCGGTGAGCGGCGCCTCCGAGCGGCCGCATCGCCCGGGGGGGGAGGAGGCAGCTCCGGGCCGGCCCCTCCGTGCCGAGCCAAAGGTGGGGAGCGGGGCTCACCCTCTTCCCCCGGAGGAAGGGGGAGGGGCGGCGGCCGCGGCTCCCCCCGGGGCTGGAGCGGCGGGGCCGGCGAGGGCGGGGCCGCGCCCGTGACGCGGCGGCTCCGGCAGCGGCGGGGCCGGGAGGGGGCCCGGTCGGCGCGGAGAGTGTGCGCGGCGGCCCCGGCACCGCTCCGGACCCGGGAGGAGGTGCCGGATTCCGGCGCCGCGTGCGGGCAGCGAGGAGCAGCGGGGCGGCCGCAGAGGCAGCCGGAGGAGGAGGCGAAGGAGGAGGAGGCAGGGAGCGGGGAGCAGCGAGCAGCTCCGCTTGGTCGGCCCCGCGCCGCCCCTGCAGCCACTTCCCCGCCGGGCGCTCTTCTGCTGGGGAACTCGATCCGCTCCCGGAAACTCTCGGCTCGACTCTGGCCGCGCCGACGGGGTAGTCTCGGCACGGCTCCTCGCCCCGGCGCGGCCGGCAGGGGAGGGGGGGCCGGGGGGGCAACTTCTCGCACTTCTCCGGAGGACAGTCCGTTCCGCCCCTCTCCGGGGGCGGCGGCGGCGCCCGCGGTGCCCGCCGCGCCGGGATAACTTTCGGCCCCGAGTGCGAGGCGGCCGAGCGGGGCCCGAGCGCGCCGGCCGCGGCGGGAGGAGCGCGGCGGAGCCGGCCCGGCGGCCGCGGAGATGAAGCTGAGCCGGCAGTTCACGGTGTTCGGCAGCGCGGTCTTCTGCGTTGTGATCTTCTCCCTCTACCTGATGCTGGACCGCGGCCACTTCGACCACCCGAAGAGCCCCCGGCGGGAGGGCACCTTCCCCAAGGTGAGAGGGGCGGCGGCCGGGGGCGGAGAGGGGGAGGCGGCGGTGCCGCCAGCGGGGCTCCTTTCTCCCCGCCGGGATTCTCGGGCTGCGGGGCCCCCGGGGCGGGGGGCGAGCGGAGCCGCTTCCGGGCGGCGCAGCCGCGGCTCGGTCCGGCCCGGGGCTGTGCGGGGAGCGGGGTGCGGGGCACAGCCCACCCAGCCGGCCGGGGAGGGGGGACAAGCCCACCTCCCCCGGGCGGGACGAGCTGGAGGCTGCGGTGCGGCTCCCGCGGCCCGAGGGGCTCCTCGGGCGGGCAGCAGAGCGGGGATGCGGGGCTCACTCTGGGCTGTGAGAAGCGGTGCTGTAAACAGGAGCTGACAGGGAGAGCTGGGAACCGGAGGGTAGAACCTCAACCGTGGCAACAACAGGTAGGTTTAGGGAAATGCTGACTTCGCTGCTGCTTTCCATTCCGCCAAGCCTTAATTTGGAGCCGTAACCGGCTGACCCGACTGCGCCGCGTGGTTGAAAGACGCAGCTCTTCACTTTGCTCCGTTTTCTGCGTGAGGGAGAAATTCAAAAACTGTGCGTCGCGGTTGTGTTCTGATAAGGAATGTTTGCCCGTGACAAGAAACGTGTATTTCAGAGACCAGCGTGGTATACTGTGTAGAATGGCAGAATGCTGCTGGGTATAAACAGCTTTGTGTTCTTATAGTGCACCAAAAAAACCCCCAACTCAGAAAATCAATTTATAACCTATTTATGCTTGCATGGTACTTATTGTTTTGCAAACAAAACAAATGAAAATTTATTCTAGTTCTGCAGTGAGACTTCAAGTGAGTAGAACTCCGAAAGCTTATATAAAAAGTGACAGTTCTCTCTCTGGTAGAACCACTATTGTTTCATTTAATGCTAAAGTAATTACTGATATCATTTTGTTAATAGTAAAGATAAAAACTTTACATAAATGTAAAGAAAGGGAGCAGATCTGTTCTGCCTTTATTTCTTCAGTTCAGAGGTCAGCCACTAGCTTTTGCAGGAGCAAGGAGAAAGGAAAGAAGCTTAGGAGATGGAAGAATGAAAAACAAAGCTGGCTACAGGAGCTGTGTCTGTTCCGAAATGTAACTCCGGCAGGCAAGTAATGCCACGTGTTACACTTGTAACAGCTGCTTTGGTGATATGGCCAGTAACTTATGTAAAGAAATCACTTAATGTGTTGTTTTTTTGCCGGCTGAGTTTACTCCAGGTGAAGTACAGAATTGGAAAGCTCATCCATTGGTGGTTTTTTTTTTTTTTTTTTTTTTTTTTTTTTTTTTTTTTTTTTTTTTTTTTTTTTTTTTTTTTTTTTTTTTTTTTTTTTTTTTTTTTTTTTTTTTTTTTTTTTTTTTTTTTTTTTTTTTTTTTTTTTTTTTTTTTTTTTTTTTTTTTTTTTTTTTTTTTTTTTTTTTTTTTTTTTTTTTTTTTTTTTTTTTAAAGTGTTGGATTTTGGTTTGAAATACTTGGAATGAACAAAGAAGACTTATTAGACATGTTTTGTCTTCTGTTGTCACTGTCTTGCAGTTGAAGTTCCTGTCTATATATTACAGTTGTTTGAGGTGTAATGTGGTCTTTTTCTCTTGTGAGGAAGGGTTTGGGATGTTAATCTGTTTTTAGGCCTCTTCCTTCTACATGATCTAGTCAGTTAGAGACCAACATTTCTCCTTCCATCCTCTTCCTTTCTCTCAGTCTTCTAGAACAATCTGTGAGTGTTTACTCTTTTTGTCTTTTCTATGTCTAAATTTCTTTGAGGCCTCTTATTCTTACTGGAGAACCTTCTGCCTATCACTAGTCCTTCCTTTGGGTGAACAGTTTTCCTTTCTTATTGCTTTATCCTTTGAGGAAATTCAAGACGAAATTGACATGATTTTGTAATTTGATTTTGCTACCCATGTCATAGAAATTTTTCACTTTGTTGTACCTTTGAAACCTCTGACAGCTGGCAAATGCTTTCAGAATGTTATAATATCAGTTTAAAATAAATTCAAAACATGAAAAGTGGAATAGAAACCTCCAGAAATATTTGAAAGAAACAGCTTCAATACTACTACCTCAGATGGCTATTTGTGCCAGTGCAGTGTTGCCGAAGCTCAGAGTACTGTAAATGAAACTAGCCACAGATGTAAAACCTTCAGGCTGTTCTTGTTTATGGAAAACTATGGCAGCAGTTTGTAGATTTAAGAAAGCATTCTGTTTTCTGATAACAAAGATCAGTATTTTTTGGCTTGGAAAGAGACAGCAACCTTTTTTTTTTTTCTTTCAAATGTTACTGGTTTGATTTACTTCATACCTCTCTCTGTTCTGGCAGTGTGCTGATTTTTCAGCTTTGCTGTTTCTCCATGCAGTTCTGGTAACAAGACACGTCACCTTTCATGTCCTGAAAGTTGAACATTGATTAGTTTCTTTTTCCTGACCTACACTGAGCTTACACTAAGCTCAGAGAAAAAAAGTGGGCACTTCTGAAAGGAGCCTCCTGTTTAGCTTATAAGCATTTGCTATCTGAGTATTCTGTTTGATTTCTGCCTGGATTAGGGATGGGATTTTTCAGCTGGTATTGCCTGTTAGTCTGCATTCAGCTCAAGTGTCATGGCACCTAGTGCCAGAAGTAAGATAAATTATTAGAATTGCTACTTCATTTTCATTTCCATGTTTTGTTTCAGGCAGGGTGCCTTGTCTTGGCATGGTCTCAAGGTACTTTGCATCAGACTCAGTCTTGTGAACCTGTGTTCTTTTAGGTTTATCAGTGTAGGCCAGTGTAGTCAAGAGCTGTTCTTACAGAACTTGCTTAACACTTTAAGAGTTCAGGTGGTTGTTCAAGGATGCTGACAGACATGTCTTGCAGAAATAATTTTTGAGGAGGATCTCCCAAGATGGCTGAATATCCATAGGTGGATGGCTTTATGTGCTCTCTAATCAAATACTTCAATGATTTTCCCTGCTGTGCTAAACAGAACCTGCAGTCGGGCTTTGGACACAGCAGTGACATTGTGTCCTTCTCAGTGTTTGGATTGCAAAAGCTGGCACAGTAGTCAGTTTTACAGTGTATTTTTTTCACACCTCTCCATGCTAAGGTGGCAATAGGGGCAACTATAATAGAACTTGAGGTAAAGTGATTTATAGCCTTGTCATCAGTGGTGTGCATTGAAATAATACCAGAAGACCTCTATGTTGCAATACAGTGGAAGTTCCTGTTAATTTGGGGAAGAATAGGTACTTATAATATATGGAGATCAGACTTACAGACTTACTGACCTCTTCTTTGTAATTCCTGCATATGTCTTCATGAATCCTGCCTGTTTGTCTGGCATGTATTATTCTTAGGATGACCATACCACAAGCTCTGTCTTTCTGAACCTGTTCCTAGCCATAGAATGCTCCTGTCTCAGGACACGTCTCAGAATATGATGTGTCCCAGTGTCCTATCTCAGGCTGGGAACCACATTACAACATTGCACAGGGAGAAGCTCAAGGTGCAGGAATGGCCTTAGGTCCATTTTTAGTTTATTATTGTACCTGTTGTCAGTACAGATCATTGTGTAAGATTATTCTAGTGGAATATAGTCAAAAAAATGGTTGAGTGTATTGGTTTTGTCTGCAACGACACAGGATTTTCTGAGAAATCTGTGGAGTACAGAAAGGTTCAAAGTGGTGCTTTGTCCTGTGACATCTGTTGTGCAGCAAGTGTCAGCTACAAGTAATTTGTGGGCCAAATTGATAACTGCTAAGTGAAAACTACATTCAAATCAAGTCTCTAGAGTAAGTCCATAAGCACCTTATATTGAAGAAACTGTGTAACTGTATACAGAGGAATACCAAACACTGATAGGCCCATATTGATCTATTCTGGATTTTGGACTCAAATAGAAAAAAAAAAAAATCATTAGCATGATGGCTTGTTTTCTCAACTAACCTTACCTTGACTTAGAACAGATCCATGAAAGCTGTTGAGATCCATGAAAGCTGTTCATTTCACAGAAGGCTGTGAAATACTTCTTTTGATTCTACATTTGCATCTTAGCATGCATGACACACGTTAAAAGTCCACCTGAAAAAGCAAAATTAAGTAGAGGATTTGTAAGAGTGTCTTACTTCAGAAATATATAGTCTTTTTAACACAGAAGCTAATTTTGAGTTTATTTTATCATTGAGCAAGGTGAAATGGCAACACATTGCTGCATTCTCTGTCACTACATGATAGGTGATGCTTTGAACTTGAACTTTTTTCTCTAACTACTTTCACTTGGCTTGGTTTAGCTTTTATGGGACATACCTCCCCACTGTGTGCAAGATTGTTTCTGGAAATACATTTTTGAAAGTAGAGCCTGTCATTATTCTGGTGGATAACTGGTTCGGTACCAAGTGATTACTTTAATTTATCTTTGTTCTTTTCTTTAAACTTTATTAAAAGTTGAAACACAAAAATGTAGCAACTTCCATGCTTACCATTTTCTTTTTCCTAAGCAATTGTTATTTGCAGATCCCACTCTTTGGCCCCTCTGTATTTTCTTCACCACCTTCCTGTTGACAAATGTTATTTGAAGCTTACTCTGATCTCACGTGTGCTAACTGCTTTTATGGACTCATTAATTGCACTGCATCGAACTGAGGTGATTGAGTACAGTTCCTCTAAAAGCAGCTGGCTTGGTGTGTTTCTCTCTTTTTTTTTTTTTTTTTTTTTTTTTTTTTTTTTTTTTTTTTTTTTTTTTTTTTTT